TTGGCGACCATGGGGTAATTGGATGGCGCGCAGGACAAGTACAGTGGACGTGGGGAAGCTTAGATTGTCACGGGGGAGATGGGAAAGACATGGGGAAGTCCAGAATGGCACGGGAATATCGGAAATTACATAGAGGAGTTCAACAAGTCACGGAGAAGTTTATAATAATAATGTTGGGGAGTTCGAAGCAGCATGGGGTAGGGACATGGGATTATGTTGAAAGACCATGTCCTCTCGGGAGCCTCCTTGGGAGGCTCTTTGGCCACTTGGAGTTGTCTTGGAGCAGTCGTGGGGCCCGATGGAGGCATCCAGGAAGCTATTCGAACCACATTTCTGTTATTTTGAGCCATCCTGGAGGCCACCTTGGGGCTTCGGGGGATCGCTTTGAGCAATCTCGGGCCATCTTGGACCTTGGGCCATCCGACCGCTCGCGGCCCCCCCCCGTCGAGACCGAGGGATTGGATGAGGAAGCGCGCTAACACGACTTCTGCCCAGAGGGCTGCTCGGAGTCGCCGATCTCCCCCGCAGCCCGCGGGGCCAGAGAGGCCCCCCAGCTTTGGGCGGATGGGCCGGGCCGCGCGAGCCCCGCGGGCCCAGCCCGACGGGCCCTCGGGCCCTGGGCGCTGGACGGCCCGCACCCCCCCAGCAGCCTTGACCCACGGGAGCGCCGGAGCCCCCCGGCCTCATAGCCGCAGTGGGCCAGGAGAGCCCTGTCCGGCCCTGGCCCGAGGGCGCTGCAGACCCCCCCCTTTTGGGCCCCCCAGCTGGCGCCGGAGGGGGCCCTGGGAGCTCCCCGGCCTGCGCCGGAGTCGCGCCTGGAGCCCCCCTGGGCCCCCGCCGGCTGGGGGGGGGGCCGGAGGGGGCCCCGAGAGCCTGCCCCCGCCATGTATGGCCAGAGGGGGCCCGCGGAGCCCTCCGGAGAGGCCCCGAGCCGGGCGGGGCGGCGTCGGGGCCAGGGGCTTCCGAGAGGAGCGCGCGGAGGTCGACGGCGCCTTTCTCAGCTTTCTGACATCGGCCCAACGCTCCCCAGGCCGACCCAGTCTCCCCCATGCCCTCCAAGCTTCCCCATGTCGATGTCGCCCCACTCAGCGATGCAGACCTCGCCCGACCCGCCCTTATGCCCATCCAAACTCCCCCAGGGACTGCCCAGCTTCCGCATGCCCACCGCGCCAACTCGCAGGCCTCAACATGGCCATCCAATCTCCTCCACCCCGATACGCGCCACACACTTCCAGCGAAGGCCTTTGTCTTTAGTGATCCGTGGACTCGATCAATTTAAGAGGCCCCCAGGACGGCCCCACGGGGCCCACGAGAACTCCAAAGATCTAGGCCACCTAGATGGGGTCGGACTAGATGGGGTCGGAGGAATGCGCCACATCGCCGATGCATCGGCGATGCGGCTCGATGTTGAGCCCGACTTGCTTCATGCCGATGGTTTCGAAGCATCGCCGACGTCGCGGCTGCATCGCCAATGCATCAGCGATGTATCGCCGATGTATCAGCGATGCCGCGCGATCCTCCGACCCCATCTACTCGGGCCCCATCTAGGAGGCCTCTAAAAGGCGGCCCCACGACGCCAGAAATCACGCACGAACCTTGTTGTTTCTGATGCTTTCCATGCTCTCGCCATGACGGGCACAGAACGGCCCTACGTGGGATCTTTCCAAGATGGCCTCAGAGGGCCCGACGAGCGCGCCAAGACGGCCCAAGAGGGCCCCAAGCCAGCCCGAGACTGGCCCCCACGGCCTAATGGAGCTTCAGGTGGCTCCCCAAGACGTCCCAGAAGTCGCCCAAGAGCTCCCAGACAGCCCCTGGCCTCAAGCTTAGCTTGCCCAAGAGGTCCCAGGGACGGCCCAAGCGGGCTTACGAGGACCTCGATGACGGCCCCCAAGGCTAACAATCAAGCGTTGACCTTGCATTTGCTGATGAATATCCGCATGTTTCACATGACGAGCCCAAAACGGCTCCGTGCGGCTCCACCCACTTTTCTACGATCGCCCCCAACAGATGTCCCACGAGGCCCCGACGAGCGTACCAAGACGGCCTACGAGGGCCGCCCCCCCAAGACCTGCCCCAGACGGCCTGATAGAGCTTCAGGTGGTCCCCCAAGACGCACCCAGAGCTGCCCAAGAGGGCCCAAACCAAGCTCCAACACTGCCCCGGACCTTCACCACCGCCCCACGACAGCTGTGGAGGCCCTCAGGACGGCCCCAGAGGGCTCCACTGTGGCCCAATGAGGGCCTCACAGTGGCCCAAGAGGGCTCCACGAGTTGTTGCAGACAAGGGGGCACCAGCAGAATTGACCCATGGGGGCCCGAGGGTGGCCAAAGGGGACCCAGATAGCCCACGAGGGCACCCCAGCACGTCTCGAGCCCATTCCCGCCGATTGGCGGTGACAAGGTGGACCGTCTCCTCTCTTCTCTGCCTCGGCCTCCTCTTCTTTGTGAGCCTGCCTTCCCCCCTCGCCGATACCGCTCTCCTCCTCCTCCTCCGCCTCCTCCTCCTCCTCCTCCTCCTCTTCCTCCTCTTCCTCCTCCTCCTCCTCCTCCTCCTCCTCCTCCTCTCCCTCCTCCTCCTCCCCCTGCTGCAGGATGATGAAGCGCGACTGGACTCGGGGCTTCCAGCAGCCGCCGATGCCACGAGAACCCTCCAAGGTCCACTCCAGGACGGCCCAGACCCTCAGAGGACACTCGCAGACAGCCTCCAGCCCTGGAGCTCAGAGCTTGCAGTACTAAGTCGATCCTGTCCCTCTACTGGAGGAGTCTTCAAAAATAGTAAACAACAGTCTGGGGACGATTGTTTGACTATTTCGGACTATTTGGGAGCACCTTGTGATGATTGTTCAATTCTTCACCCAAAATCCGCCTGTAGGGGGACATGCCCGACCTAATTGTAGTAAACCTGGGAGCCTGTCTGTGCTGAATGCGCACGTGTCGCTTGCGGTCGGCGACGTGTGGGCGTTCGGAGCCAAGTCCTTGACCTGCCAGCCGCAGATTTGCCACGGGTTCGCACGAGTCTATACTATATGGCCGGAGGAACCGCGTGCCGGGAGGAAAAAGGCCAAATGGCCGGAAACGGCTCCGAGACGCTCCGGAGGCCGCCCCGACGGCCCAAAGACGGCTCCGAGCCGCTCAAAGACGGCTCTGAGCCGCTCAAGATGCCCCGAAGGCGGCCCAAGAGGGCCCCGAGACGCGCAATGAGCCGGCCAAGACGCCCAATATTGGCCCAAGACGGCCCAAGAGCTCCCCAAGACGGCCCAATAGGCTTCCCAAGAGGCCTCCCAGGAGAGCCCCGAGAGGCCAAAATCGTTGATTTCCATAGTTTTTTTTTCCAAGGTTTTTTGCTTCCTCGCTTTTTCGGCTTCCCGACGCTCCGAAACCCCCCCAGAGGCATCCAAGACCGCCTCAAGACGGTCGAAGAGGTCCCCAAGAGGACCCCAAGACGGTCCAAGAGGGCCCCAAGACGGTCCAAGGCGGCCCCAGGACGGCCCCAGAGGCGCCCAAGACAGGCCAACGGGACCCCAAGATGGCCCGAAGAGCGGCCCAAGACGGCTCCAAGACGGGCCCACAGGGCCGCCAAGTCGGCTCAACAGGTTCCCAGAGGCTGGCCCCGGGCCGCCCGGGGCCACCCAGACAGGCTCGGACACACGCCAAGAGAGCCCAAAGAGGCCCAAGCCGGCCCGACAGGTTTCCACGGTGCTCCGTGAGACCTCCCAGGAAGCTTCCCCAGAGAGCCCCGACCAGGAAAAACATTGATTGTCATGTTTTTGGCAGGGTTTTTGCCGTGCTCGCCTTGTCGGCTTCCACACGATCTACGACGGCCCAAGACGTTTCCAAGACGCCTCCAAGATGGCCGAAGAGGCCCCCAAAAGAGCCCCAAGACGGGCCCACAGGGCCGCCAAGTCGGCTCAACAGGTTCCCGGAGGCTGGCCCCGGGCCGCCCAGACAGGCTCGAACACACGCCAAGAGAGCCCCAAGAGGCCCAAGCCGGCCCGACAGGTCTCCAAGGTGCTCCGTGAGACCTCCTGGGAAGCTTCCCCAGATGGCCCCGAGCAGGAAAGAACATTGATTTTCATGTTTTTTTGCTGGGTTCTTGCCGTGCTCGCCTTTTCGGCTTCCACACGATCCACGACGGCCTCAGACGTTCCCCAGACGCCTCCGAGACTAAGAGGCCCCCAAGAGAGCCCCAGGACGGGCCCAGAGGGCCTCCAAGTCGGCTCAACAGGCCCCCAGATGGGCCCCAGACGCTCAAGATTGGTCCAAGATTGGCCCAAGCCGGCCCGAGAGGTCTCCAAGGTGCTCCGAGAGACCTCCCGGGAAGCTTCCCCAGAGGGCCCCAAGCAGGACAAAGCATTGACTTTCGTTGGTTTTTGCCGGGTTTTTGCGGTGCTCGCCTTCTCGGCTTCCAGGCGATTCAAGACCGCCCAAGGCGTTCCCAAGACGCCTCCCAGACGGCCGAAAAGGGACCCAAAGAGAGCCCCAAGACAGGCCCAGAGGGCCCCAAGTCGGCTCAACAGGCCCCCAGATGGGCCACACACGCTCGAGATTGGCCCAACATTGGCCCAAGCCGGCCCGACAGATCTCCAAGGTTCTCCATGGGACCTCCCCAGAAGCTTCCCCACAGGGCCCCGAGCAAGACAAATACAGGCCAGGAGCCTCCGAAGACAGCCCCAAAGAAGACAGCCCCAAGAGCCGCCCAAGACGGTCCAAGACGGCCCCCAGATCGCCCAAGAGGCGCCCAAGACGGCCTAAGACGGTTCCGAGACGGCCCGGACGGCACCGACGAGAGCCCAAGAGGGCTTCCAGAGTCCCCCTCGAAGCCGAGGGGTTGACCGCCATGTGGACAGCTTTTCAGCAGCATCCCCGCCGCTCCCCCAAGAATGCTCTCGGCCAGATGTCGTGGACGGAGTCCACGGGTCAGCCCTAGTCGTCTACAACTCAGGGATCAGCGCGTGCGAGAAGGGCGAGCAGTGGCAGCGGGCTCTGGTGCTGCTGAGCGAGATGCGGTTGTCGAAGCTGGAGCCTGATGTCATTAGCTACAGCGCTGGGATGAGCACGTGCGGGAGGGGCAAGCAATGGCAGCAGGCTCTGGCGCTGCTGGGCGACATGCGGGAGACGAAGGTGGAGCCCAACGTCATCAGCTACAGCGCTGGGATCAGCGCGTGCGAACGTGGCAGGCAGTGGCAGAGGGCACTCTCGCTGCTCCGTGAGATGCGGGAGGCGAAGTTGAAGTCCGACGTTCTTGGCTACAGCGCCGGGATCAGCGCGTGCGAGAGGTGCGACCAGTGGCAGCTGGCTCTGGCGCTGCTGAGCGAGACGTGGGAGGCGAATCTCGAGCCCGACGTCATCTTTACCACATTGTAGGGCCCTGTGCGTCTCAGCAGGGTCGTGGCTCGATTAGGTACCGCGGATACCGGAGCTGCCACGAGAGCCCCGATGCCACCAAGATGACCCCAGCAGACCCAGGATGGCTCCCCACAGAGCCTGAAATTTGCGAACGTTGATTGCAATCCTCCCCAAAAGGCTTCTGACAAGCCTCATCAAAAGTAGATTGACACGCTGTTCAAAATCGAAGCGCTCGATAGTTCGGACACTTGTCAGAAAACGTGTTCTTCAGTGCTGTCAGGGTATTGCAGTATTTTGGTCACCCCTGCGTCTGGGCCAAGGATCTCATGCCAGCATCGATGTAGCGCCAACTGAACAAGCACCGAACAAAACAAACTGACAGTCATGTTTGACAAGTCTCCTTCGCTTGTAGGCGCTGCCGTTTGCTAATCTTCATTGCGTTCTCGTTCGCTTGGCGGGAGGGTTCGCGTTGGCTCACTCCCTCGCGGTCTTGCGTGAGTCCTCGCGTGGACATTGCATTCCGACCGCACTCTTCAACCGAGTATAGTCTTCACCGTCGCCGGAGCCATCACGCGTTGTTACTTTCGGATGTCATCTCGCAAGCGCCCCGCCTGCGCGCTACCACCCCTCCCGTCCTTCGTTGCGCTGGAGGTGCATCTCAAGAAGGATTTGCGCTCGTGTTGTCATCATCGGCGTAGCCGCCATCACAGTCATCGTGGGACTCGTGCCCAGGCTTCGACAGTAGCGCGCGCGGTCGCCCTGGGCCCCTGCAGCTGCGCCTTCCGACATCGCCGCAGCTCCGTGTCTCAGGGGGCAGCAACCCGACGACGACCACCGCGCCTGCATTTTCTAAAAGGGGATGGTGGCCTGGTAGTTGCCAAACAGCCCCGAAGTTGCCCGTCCACCGTCTCATTGACCTGGTCTCTCGATATGGATGACAGTGATCGGTGCTACGGCGATGTATTCTTTTGCGCAACCACTACCTGGCTGTGTCCACCGCACATTATCGTATACTGTAAGGTATGGTGGCTTGTTTCTTGGGTACTTTGGGAATTCGAAGAATGAGCAGTTTAGTTTTAACTTTGACGCAAATATGTGCAAGCACCCAAGTACACAGACCGACATCAGGCCATCAGGTCAGCATGCAAACAGGCAGGCATGCAGGCAAGCTGTCGGACCCGCAATCAGAACTAGCAGCAAGCAGCTTCAGCCTCCATTAGCAGGCACCAGCAGCAAGAAGCGGTGAGTAGCGACCTTACGCATTCAGAGCACCAGCGCTGAGCAGAACGCAGCAGCAACAAGCCGCAGTAAGCAATCGCCTGCACCAGCAAACAGGCAGGTGCAGCAGAAGCTCCAAACAGTAGCAAACCAAGCAGGACCAAGCATCAGCAAGCGGCGGCATGCAACAAGACAAGCAGACAAGCCTGATATCACACACACATTGTCCAGCACGCAAACAGGAACTTCGGGGACAAAGCGGTCAGGCCAGCAGTATAGCAGCCATGCGCGCAGCACAGCACGCAAGCAGGCAAGCAGACTTGCGGCCCTAACCCTTGCATGCGAGTAAGCTGTCGTGGACGTAAGTTCACAGGTCAGCCATAGTCAGCTACATTGCTGCGATCAGCGCGTGTCAGAAGAGCGAGCAGTGGCAGAGGGCCCTGACCTTGCTAAAAGACATCCGCCGGATGAAAGTGAGGCCAGACTTGAACGTCTATAGAATTGTAGCCAGCCTTTGCGAACATCGCGGACAAATAGAGCTGGTGCAGTCGTTGACGAGGGCGGTATGCGGCCTGTTCGAAGCAGAATAGTGTAATCACTACCATACTGTCAGGCCCGAGTGCGTGTGAAGAAGGGTGTCAGCGAAGGCAGCGAGTTTCGCGATTCCGCGGAGCAGCAACTACGTGGTGGTCCAGGCTGATCCACTTGCGGGCTCCTTCTGACAGCCCCAGCAGGTCCCATAAAGGCTGCAGAGCTCAGCACGGTCCCCGAGGATAGCCATAGTGCCCAAGGTCTTCAAGATGGTTCAGGGGTCCCAAAACGGTCTCCTGTATCCTCGCTGGGCAAGAACACACCAGGTTTCTTCCAACCAGTGCTTGCACGAAGGGTAGACAGGAATGATAAGCAATAGTTGCGAGTTCCTGTTCTTGCCTTCTTGCTTCACGGGTAGCTTCATGCAGCAGGTTCGAGTCTGGCTAACAACCACAACCAGTTCGGCAAAGGTCTAGAGGCATGTTGTCTAGGGCTGGCACCCTATGATGCCCCAGTGGTTGCGATGTATCGTTCTTGGGCAGGTGGCATAGGGGCGGTTCTCTCCATGGCTGGCGCCCTGTGCTTGATGCCTCAAATGTCGCGGCTTCTCGTTCTTGCCTCGGTGCTCGATGGGTTGTTCCCCGTGGCTGGTGCCCCATGACGCCGCAGTTGTTGCGCTTCCGTGTGGTTGCCTCTGTGCAGCGGCGCCCTGTGGCCGGCGCGCCATGGTGCTAGAATATTCCACGGTCCTCCGACGGGTTGGGCCCGTTCCACCCGCCGCCCCCGTGGGTCCAGACGCTCCCAGGGACTTCGGTTTTGCGCACGTTGCCAGGGGAGTCCGATCACACTGGGTCGCCTGGCAGGTATGGCCTGGTTTCCCTGTTGCCTCGGTGCTCTGTGGGCGGTGCCCCGTGGCTGGTGCCCTCAGATGCGTTGTTGGTTGCGATTTCTCGTTCTTGTCGTGGTGCCTCATGGACGGTGTTCCGTGACTGGTGATCTGTGACGCCTTTATGACGCCGATTCTTAGTGCCTACATTGGCACCCGATGGGCGGTGCTCCGGGGCTGGTGGTTGCGACTGTCGTTCTTTGCTTGGTGCCTTATGGCCGATGGGTGGGGCCCTACCGCTGGCGCCCCGTTATGCCCTGATGGTTTTGATTTCTCGTTCCTGGCCTTGTGCCTACCCGATGTGTGGCTCCCTGTGGCTTGTGCCGCACGTTGCCTTAACATCGTTTCCGGCACTTGTACCCTATGGGTGGCGCCCTGTGGCTGGGGCCTATGGCGCTTTTTCTCTTGCACAGGGTGTCTAGAGCTCCGACCACTTTATTTCCGCGTCGTCGTCGCTCCCCCCAGCTGCCTTGTGCCCTTCATGTGTCGCTATATGTGTCGCTGTGTGCCTTGTGCCCTTCATGTGCCGCTATATGTGTCGCTGTGTGTCGCTATGCGTCTCCATGTGTGCGTCGCTATGTGTCGCTGTGTGTCGCTATGCGTCGATATGTGTGTGTCGATATATGTCTCTATATGTCGATATGTGTCGACATGTGTCGCTATGTGTCGCTCCCCAGCACCCCAGCGCACCGCCCCCTCCGCCCCGACGACTTTATTTCGGCGTCGTCGTCGCCCCCCCCCCTCTCCCTCTCCTCAGCAGCCCAGCGCGCTGCCCCCTCCGCCCCGACCACTTTATTTCGGCGTTGTGTCGACATGTGTCGCTATGTGTCGCTCCCCAGCACCCCAGCGCACCGCCCCCTCCGCCCCGACGACTTTATTTCGGCGTCGTCGTCGCCCCCCCCCCCTCTCCCTCTCCTCAGCAGCCCAGCGCGCTGCCCCCTCCGCCCCGACCACTTTATTTCGGCGTTGTGTCGACATGTGTCGCTATGTGTCGCTCCCCAGCACCCCAGCGCACCGCCCCCTCCGCCCCGACGACTTTATTTCGGCGTCGTCGTCGCCCCCCCCCCCCCTCTCCCTCTCCTCAGCAGCCCAGCGCGCTGCCCCCTCCGCCCCGACCACTTTATTTCGGCGTCGTCGTCGCCCCCCCCCGGTCCTTTTCCCCAGCAGCCCAGCGCACCGCCCTCTCCGCCCCGACCACTTTATTTCGGCGTCGTCGTCGCCCTATTTCGGCGTTGTGTCGACATGTGTCGCTTTCCCCAGCAGCCCAGCGCACCGCCCTCTCCGCCCCGACCACTTTATTTCGGCGTCGTCGTCGCCCTATTTCGGCGTTGTGTCGACATGTGTCGCTATGTGTCGCTCCCCAGCACCCCAGCGCACCGCCCCCTCCGCCCCGACGACTTTATTTCGGCGTCGTCGTCGCCCCCCCCCCCCCCTCTCCCTCTCCTCAGCAGCCCAGCGCGCTGCCCCCTCCGCCCCGACCACTTTATTTCGGCGTCGTCGTCGCCCCCCCCGGTCCTTTTCCCCAGCAGCCCAGCGCGCCGCCCTCTCCGCCCCGACCACTTTATTTCGGCGTCGTCGTCCCCCCCCCCCATCCCCTCTCCCGAGCAGCCCAGCGCGCCGCCCCCTTCGCCCCGACCACTTTATTTCTGCGTCGTCGTCGCCCCCCCCCCCCTTCTCCCCAGCAGCCCAGCCCAGCGCACCGCCCCCTCCGCCCCGACCACTTTATTCTCTTGCACAGGGTGTCTAGAGCTCCGACCATTTTATTTCGCGTCGCTCCCCCCCCCCCCGCGTCCTCAGCGCCAGAGTGGGGCCCCCGCGCCGTGGCTCTCTGCCCCAAGCCCCCCCGCGTCCCCAGCGCCCCAGCGGGGGCCCCGCCCACTGCCCCCTCCGCCACGAACGCTTTATCCCGCGTCGCCCCCCCCGCCCCCCCGCGTCCCCAGCGCCAGTGTGAGGCCCACGCGCCGTGGCTTTCTGCCCCGAGCCCACCGCGTCCCCAGCGCCCCAGCGGGGGCCCCGCCCA